GATGCTTTAGACAAAAATCTCAAATGGACTTGGATTTTCTCTTACGTAAAACAAAAGTTTGGCTGAAATGCAGTAGGTGTTCTTTGAGGCTCTGTCCCCCTCTAAAGTTCTGACTCAGATCGGGATTGTTTTCCAACAGTTAATCTTACGTGTGGCCTTGTTTTAAAGTTGTCTCATTCATCTTTCTCATTGTTGCAACACATGGAGCACATTTATAAAAAGGGAAAGGAGAATGTGTTACCCAGATGAGCCCCAATGTCTGTATCACACATGGTATCATCCTGTATGTGGGTGTGTGTGTATTTTTTAATAGTTCTAGAAAGCTGGGAGGTAGGAAAGGAGCCAGTTGTAGTAATTGTAGGAACTGTTAGCCTGGCCAAAACCAGACTTTGTTCTGAAATGAAGATCCATTGTTAGGAGTCCCAGTGGGTTTTATAAGAAGGTGACCAGTTACAAGTCAAAAAGGCAAATTTAACTTCCTACTTCTTGGTTCCCTCAATGAATTTTATTGTGTTATAGAGTTTGGTTTGGGGGCACAGAGTTTACGTTTAAATTTTTGTTGCAGGTTAAGTATGACAGACAGGAGGCAGGAGGGAGAACCAATGTAAGCTCGCTGGTAAAGCCAGAGCACTCTGCCTGTCCGGGCACCTTCCTTGGCTGGCAGGTGGTAATGCAGATGATACTATAAGGCCCCTTTCCTTTGGACCACACCCTTTGAAAAAACATTTAGTGACTCACTCTATATTTTTTATGAGGCATTTTAAGCAGTGAATTCATGGTTCATTGTTTTACTGAGAATCACCTAAAGTGAGTATAAAATGTATAGTTCTTTTGGATTCTTACAACAAATTAAGATAATTTTAGCCCAAATAGGTTAATTTCCTACTTGATCAAATTTGTTTTTAAAGCCCATCTGTTCTTTGAAGTTGTGTGGCTGGCCTGTGAACACTGATACTTTAGTCAATTCCTTGGATATGGAAGAAGATTTTTAAAGAGGCAAATACCATATTCTTAAGATCACAGCATTTATACCATAGGTTATGGATGTACTCCTTAGGATGAATTTCAAGGGAGAATTACGGGAGAAATAGCAGAAGAGACGCTGCCTTCTTTCAGTGGGCCTGTTAAATTACGTGATTATTTACTGAGTTAACTAGTATAAAGTAGTTTAGGTGCGAAGCCCATATTTGAGGCAAGTTCAAGAGGATACCAGATCCTCCCTTTCCCCCCTCAGCAATCCAACATGATACTATTAGGTCTAGTAATAATTAATGTCGTTTTCTAATACCTTTTTTTTAAATCAAATTTATTTAAACAATACAACAAAATTTAATCAACAATATAGTTGCCGTTGTTTTCTACTACTTGTGCCCAACGCTCAGGAAGCATTTTAATCTCCTCTGTTGTAAAATTCTTGTGATTTTGTTGCAAAAAATTCGGTCAATGCATTTTTGAGGCATTCTTCATTATTAAATTTTTTTCCAAGAAGAAAGTTTTGCAAAGAACGAAACAAATGGTAATCGGAAGGGGCAATATCAGGAGAATATGCAGGTTGAGGGAGAACTTCCCATTCCAACTGGCGCAGTTTTTCAGCAGTGATTCTTGCAGTATGCGGTCGTGCGTTATCGTGGTGAAGAATTACGCCCTTCCGATTAATCAGCGCGGGTTCTTTTTCTCTTAAAGCTTGGGCTAACCTTTCCAATTGGGCACTATACACTGCACTTGTAATGGTTTGGTTAGATGGTAAAAGTTCATAATGAAGAATTCCTTTAAAATTCCACCAAACACACAACATCACTTTTTTCACATGCAAGTCAGGTTTTGGCGTGGGCTGCGGAGCCTCATTTTTGTCCAACCATTGAGGCCGCCTTTTCAAATTAACATCCAGCACCCATTTTTCATCTCCAGTAACAATTTGCTCTAAAAATGGCAAACGGTTTTGACGAGAGAGGAGCGAACTGCAAATTGTGACTCTTTGATTACGGTTGTTGTCGGTCAACTCATGAGGAACCCATTTTCCAAACTTTTGGACTTTGCCAAGTGCACGCAATTGATTGGAAATTGTTTTTTGTGAACAATTTAAAGTTGTCGCAAGCTCTTGTTGGGTAATTTGAGGATTTTGCACCAAAAGAGCTTGAAGAGCTTCTTGATCAAAATTGGACACACGGCCTCGACCACTCTTGTCATCTAACGAAAAATTTCCCTCGCGAAATTTCTCAAACCAACGCTGGCATTTTCTGGCGCTAACTGCATCTTGACCAAGAGCACTACAGATATTTTTGGCAGCCTCACTTGCTTTTCTTCCTAATTGGAACTCGTAAAGCATGCAGTGCCGAATATGCTCTTCATCCGCCATCTTCTTAGCCCTAGTTTTGCAACAAAAACCAAACCAAACACAAACTTTTTCAAGCAAAACTTGTTAATTGCACTTCACATGTTCTGTAGATACCACGTGTTTGAAGGTTATGTCAATACAAGTCAACGCCAAGCAAGATTTTAAACGAATGTTTAAAAACGACATTAATTATTACTAGACCCGATAGATGTATTAAAATGTTAAATATTCTTTTTTTTTTTTTTTTTTTTTTTTTTTAGTATTTACATTATCCTATTCTCTAAGCCAAAGGAAAATAATTACACCTGATTTTGAGTTTATTAAACCAGCCTGTGTGTAAATATTTCATATGGCTATCCCACCAGCACCTCCACTCTGCCTCCCAGGCCCACTTACTCCACAGCCTTTGTCTAAGTGGTACGCTTCCCCTGGCTCCATGCCCGTGAGACTCTGCCCCCTCAGAAGTCCTGGCCTTGTGTATCTCACTTTTGCGTTTTGGGGTATGTGTTTGTTTTGGGGGATACTGTTTGCTCTCTGTTGTGCTACTCATTAGAAGCCTATGTTTTAGGATTATTGTGGGGTGTGTCTGTCTGATTTACATATCCACTCATTCAAATACTGATTTGAGCATATACTCATGCCAGATACCAAGCTACAAAGCTAAACAAATGGGACTTTCAAGTTAGCAGGGGAAAAGCCAGTAAGACTGGTCTTACCAGATTGGCACCTGGGAGAGGACCGAGCAGCACGCACACATTATTGTCCTCATCCCCGGGGTGCGAGCCCCCTGCACAGTTCCCTGCATGTAGTGGCTGCTTCATGAATGTCTTTGTGAATCAGATGAGATTGAATGAAAGGCATGTTAGAGAGCCAACAGGGCAAGGGAATGGGATGAAGGCGCTGGGAGGGCACTGGCCAGGGCTGCCCCCTGAGGGTAGGGGAGGCTGGCAGGAGTGGTATTGTGGGTTGGGTTCCGGGGTGCGCTAGCCTCCTTGTGTGCCTGCCCCAGAGGCCTGAGCAGCCAGTTCTGAGCAAGGACTTGTCGGGGGTGGTCCATGCCAAAGAACCATCCCTCAACCCCAAGGACTGGGGTGAAGCTTTGCCCTTTCTGTCGTTGGGGACAGAGTGAAGGGAATGTGTATAATTTATTTCAAAGTGGGCTCCCCCTCCATATTTCTCAGGCTTTCATTGGGCTATTTGAATAAAACAAATGGTTATTAAAGAGCTACTTCCAATGCCTTTGGAGGCCCGGGGGCTAAGGAAACCTTTTTACAGCAGTGTGCCGTGACTGGTTTTGATTGGGATGTCTGGAGACTAAAGTGTGGGCTGGAATCTGTCCTTCAGTTCAACACTCAGTGCAGCTCTGCCAGGTGAGCCCTTGGCCGGGCGCTTTCCCGGATCACAGGTTCTCACCCACCAGTGAGGGGGATGCGAAAACAGAGCTCCCAGTGCGCGCTGTCCCACACTGTTCAAGGGCGGAACATTCTGGTTCCCTGCTTCATGGTCCTACTTGGTGCACCCCCCCATCCAGAATGTGGCCCAGCCCTGGAGTTAGCAGACGCCTCCTCGAGGTGGGCCTGGGCTCACAGACAGAGCTCATGCGTCTCACTCGTGCATGTGTGTGATGGCCACGTGGTGAGAGGCTGCTGTGTGCAGGCACCGGGCTAACGGAAGGACGGGGCTTCCAGCCCACAACCACTGAATGTGGGAGAGCATTGCGGGCCTGCCCTGAAGGCCTGCTGTCCAACATGAGTGCCCTTGCACAAACGAATCTAACAAGGCCTCACTTGACTGCCTTCCCGCCCACAGCCAGTTAGCCGCAGTAAATAGAGGGCATGCTGGGAGGATTGGTAACTCTGGGCACATAACGACAGCGGCGGGAATGGAGGAGGAAGACAGAGAACCTTACGGAGGAGATGCTGCAGTGATAATGGTCTGAACAGACCATTTGGTGTGCAGCGGCAAGCCCAGTGAGTCCCGTTCCCCCTGGGGACACGGTTACCTAACATACTCCGGTAACTAATGTTCCTGGTAATGACTGCAATCCTTCCACATAAACCGGTGGGTATTGTGCCTATGACAGGAAGTAGCCAGTTACCTGGCAGATTTACTACAGGCATCCTCTCTGGATATTCAGTCATTGGAAGTGTAATTCAGTCACTGGAAGCATCTACACATGAGCATTGCTCTCAAGTTTATTTCCAGTGGCCTCCATTTCTGAAAACCACACCATTTAGGATCGCTGAAGGGCAGTCTGATGGAGCACAGGGGGTGTGGCGAGATGACCCTCAGGCTGCAGATGGCTGCGGATTATGCTGCCACAGGCGTGGGTGGGGCGGTGTGGCTGTAACCGATCATCTCTGTTACACCCTGCTCTTCTGCAGAAGCAGGGGTTGGGGGGGATCACTTATTTACCGGGTGAGGCAAAAATAGGTTTACCATTGTGAGGACGAGAAACACAGTTTATTCTTATGCGATTAGTTACTGTACTGTTCTCTGTATGACCAACCGTAAGCCTGCTTTTGCCCCGCCCTGTGTTCTGTGGGTGACAGAGACACTCCGGCCTCACTCGGAAAGGTCGTTTGGTCCAATCAGCTTGATGACAAGATGACACCAAATGTCTGGGTCTTCTCTCTTCCAGATGCCAGTATGGACAGAATAGCTTATGATGCTTATCCCCAACCACCACTTCCGAGACATTGAGCGGAAGCCAGAATACCTGCAGCCGGAGAAGTGCGCTCCGCCTCCCTACCCTGGCCCTGCGGGAACCATGTGGTTCATCCGCGACGGCTGCGGCATCGCCTGTGCCATTGTCACCTGGTTTCTGGTCCTCTACGCGGAGTTTGTGGTCCTCTTTGTCATGCTGATTCCATCCCGAGACTACGTGTACAGCATCATCAATGGAATTCTGTTCAACCTGCTGGCCTTCTTGGCCCTGGCCTCCCACTGCCGGGCCATGCTCACAGACCCCGTGAGTATGTCTGGGCTTGTTTTGACCAGCCCACTCTCTCCTCCTCTGGCCCTGCTGTGGCCGCAGCCTGCACGCGGCCTGACCTAGGAATGTGGAGAGCAGGAGGGACGTGGACACAGGTCCCCCTGCAGAAACACCGTCTGCCTCCGCCTGCCTGCCGGGGGGGAACGGCACTGTGCGTACACTGGCGTGTACGTTGCTGGGGCAGGGTTTGTTCTGGGGGAGGCATAGCCTCTAGTGGGAAAGGTGAGTCCCATAGCCATCAAACCTGGGGCCAGGTGAGGAGCAGGGAGCTGGGTCAGGACAGGGCTTTGCAGCAAAGACAGGACGGGAGCTTGAACTTAAAGCCATATCCCGCTCCGGGAATGTGCACGGAGTGGCCTTCCCTTGGGGAGAGGCTCATCTCTTCCTGGAAAGCTGGGCAGGCCTGTTTCCGGCCACAGCCAGTGCCTCCTGGGGAGCGTCCGTGAGCGAAGCAGTGGTCTCCCCGGTGACTTAGCTAAGTGTACCAGCTGTGGGAGCGGCTGCTGACTGCCAAGCGCCCCGGTGGTAGATCCTCCCTTCCTGGTCATTGCCGCGCGGGGAAAGCTGGAGTGCGATATTGGATAAGACCTCTGGGGCTTCATTGTTCAGATGAGTGTGTTTAAATTAAGAAGGGAAAGCACTCCGAGTGGCGGTGGCGGTGGCGGTGGCTGTGGTCACACAGATTTCCGTTCTGTGCGCTCTGGGGAAAGCTCAGGACAGATGCTGGGTCCCTTCTCCAAGGACTCTGGTTCCTGCTGGTTCCTTTGGTGGGTTGTTAATCTGCCCCGAGGGAAGGCCTCTCCCAGCTCAGTTACTGTCAGCAGCCGGTGCAGACGGTGCCTCGTCTTACACACGTGCCTGGGGAGATGGCACAGGCAGGCCGGGCGCAGTGGAGAGTGGGTCTGGGTTGGCAGGGTGTGTGGAATGCCTAAGATGTAGGGCAGGTGTGGGGTGTGAGGGGCAGCCCAAGCCCCAGAGGGTGTTAAACAAGAGTGACAAGATCAGATTGTCATTTTACAAGGATCCCTCTGGCAGCAGTGAGGGAGGAGACCAGGGCGCCCCGAGGATGGGATAAAATGAGCGGCACGTTTATCGAGTGAGAGGTTCCATTCTGAGCAATGGATGCAGCTGTGAGCAAGACAGACCAAAACCCCTGCTCTCCTGACGCTCACTCCCCACAGGGGGTCAGGCATTAGCGGTGTGATTGCCGAGGCGATTCCAGAAAGTGACGGTGGTGACGTAGTGGTGACTCTGTGGAGGTGAAGGGGAACTGCTTTAGATCACGGGATCTGAATGCCTCTCTGGGGCGGGGCCATTTGAGCCGAGAACTGGGGGACGTGAAGTTGCAAGTCAGGCAAATGAAGATCGTAGGGCAGAGCCTTCAGGAAGAGGAGAAACGGGAGAAAGACCCAGGTGACTGAGCAGATCCCGCAGGCCTGCGGGCCTCCTGAGGACTCCGGTCTGTGTGCTGCATGCCGCGGGAGCCGTCAGAGAGGCCTGATGTGAACAGGTGTTGTGCTTGGGATGGGGGTTTGGTGGGGATAAGTAAAAGCAGAAGATAAGAGGAATTGCTGTGGTCCACACAAGACATGTGGCTCAGACCAAGGTGGGAACAGTGAGGCTGGAGAGAAGCTGTTGGATTGGGAGTGTATTTTAAGCCACTAATTCTCAAGCCCGGCCCTCCATTAGACTCCCTTGGGGAGCGTTTAAAAGTACTGATGCCCGGGCCGCCCCGAAAGAGTCCCCGCTAATTGGTCAGGGCGGGGTCTGGGTATTGGGATGCTTTAAAGCTCCCAGGAGTCCCTCGGGCTCAGCCAGGTCTGAGAACCGCCATTCAGAGGCGCTGACAGAATGGAAAGAGATCAAAGAGTGTGCCTTCCAGAGTCTTGGCCCGAGCTGCAGGAGATTGATTGCTGGTGCCATTTATTGAACGGGGAGAGTCTGGGAGAATAGATTTGAGAAGAGAAAGCAAGGCTTTTGTTCTGGCCAAACTGTGTCTGTATTGCATGTAAGCAGAGATGCCAGAGAGGCAGTGTATAGCCAGTCTGGGCTGGTGGAGGGGCAGGACCAGAGTGGAGTGTAAAGCTCATTGGTTTCTAGAAGGTGTGTGAATCAGGGAACTGGATTGGGGGGAGGGGGGGGGGCTTTGGCCCTGATATTCCTGCTGCCCTCACATGTGTGTGTGATCTTTTACCCCCATGGGCCTCCTCAGTCCGGCCCTTGCAGTTGGAGGCGGGAGAGAATGATCCTCACTATGGTATGTTGCTGGGCTTCCATTCCCAAGTGAATGGGAGCCAAACTCCAGCCAACTGCTCATGGGAGTGTTTTGCTGGTGGCCCCAAAGAAAACTGGGCAAACATATGACGCATCTGCCAAGTATCTACCATTGAAAAGGGAGCAACTCAAAGCATGGCCCACAGACAGGCCGCGTCTCAGGCTCATCTTGGGTTTTCCTGCTGCCCCCTGCCTACCCCCATCCCAGCACATGACATCTTATGCAAAACTTGGTAGGGAAACAGAGGGAGCTGCCGTCATGAGAGCCCCTGGGGCACCCCGGGCTTCCCAGGAGCAGAGTGGGGGCCCAGATCACACACACAAAGCAGATCAATTCCTGCTTTCTCATCAGTGCCTGCAGCCTCATTAACACCAAAGGGGGAGTCTGTTTTTAGAAAGGAGCTTCTGTATGGCTCTAAGTTCCCTAAAAATATTATAATGTTGGTATCTCAAGGATTCATGCTGCCTATAACTTTCAGAAAGTTACACCCTAAGGCTATAAACAATGTATAACGATGTATACATTGTATATGATTTTGGCTTATTACTATTCTTAGTTTGTTGTTTTTTTAAAAAGATCTTATAATCTTCCCAAGATGGCTACTGTACCACTTTCAACTTTGAGATTCTTATCCCAAATGTAACATCAAAACAATTGCGGGCACCACATTTTCTGGACCATTTAGTGAGCATTTAGTAAATGAGGCCACGTAGAGCTTGGGCAGAAAAGGGAAGTGACTCACAAGAAATTGTCCCATTTGAGGAATGGGATAAAGGATAGGCCTGTAAGGAGGGAGGGGACAGACACACAGTGGCAGGTACTCGCTGGGCAGGGGGCTGGGCTGGAGGCGGCATGAGCGTGGGCAGGAACGAGTCAGACTGGCGTGTGATGTCAGGTGCCTCCTCCTCGCCCGCTCAGGTTGTGGAATGTCATCAAAGGAGCTCTCCGTGTTCCTGAAACACGTAAGTCTAGAGTGGCTCCGCCTGCCCAAACAGCCTGGACTCAGAGACCCTTGTCTTGGTACCTCTCTCTCCTTTCCTCCCTCCCAATCTCACCACTTTTTCTCTCCCAGTTACAAGCACATTTGAATTCCTCATCCTGTGAAATTCCTGAGGGATTGATTCTCTTTAAAATGGAGATCTGGGAGGGTATCTGTCTCCCAGCTTAAAGCCAAGAGCCATAGCTTGTTGCTTTTTGCCCTGACTGCCAGGAAGCTCAAAGCCAAGCACTGACAACCCCGGCAATTGTGTACATCCTTACAATTAGCATTTTTTTGTACTCTTCCATTCTTTGGACTTAATAATTTATTAACTCATTGTAAATTATCTCAAATCTTAGACTTGAGTCAAGGAGGACTATAAAGCAATTCATTGCTAAGGAAAAGGGAATCCATCTGCCTGCCTACCGCTGCCCCTCCTCCTTCTCCTCCTCTTCCTCTTTCTCCTCCACCTCCTCCTCCTCCTCCTCCTCCTCCTCCTTTCTTCAGTCCCCCTAGTGAATTCCTGGCTGTAAACAGACTTCACTTGACAATCTCTGACCACTGCAGGCCACTGATTCTCATTTCTGCTGCCAAGTCATCTGTGGAGCTCAGGGCTCATTGCAACGTGCAGCTGGTATTCCTTTCTGGGGTCCCTCTCGGGGAAGAATCAGGAGCAGGTAGTTACTGGGGCCAGGAGCGGGCAGCACGATGTCCGGCCCTGGGAACAGAAGAGGCCTGGCCCTGGGTCCTGCCAGCCAGGTTCTGCTGTAGAAGGCCGTGCCCATCTTGCCTAACGGTGTTGCCACATTCCCTGTTTGATCAGGGGACTTGCCTCAGGGTTCACTTGAGTGGAGTGCTTTGTCCTCCTCATGTTCTGCAACTTCTCACTCCGCCACTGAGCACTTATCAATGCCAACCCAAAGCCTTCTGGCTCCAGAGAGAGGAGCGTGACCAGCTGGGGATTGCCCACCTCCTGCCTCTCTGTGGAGGAGCCAGGTGGCCCCGGGACACAGTCTGTCAGACTGTGAGAGCGTTTCTCCTCAGACCAGCAGGGGGGCACATGCCTCCATCCCACGGCCCCTGAAACTGTGCAGGCTTCGTCCTGTTGCTTGAAATGAATGGGACGGTTGAATCCTTGGAACCGTTGGTGTTTCTCCAGAGCCCGTCTCCATGGCTTTGCTTTGTGTCCTCCTTACATTTTCCTGCTGTCCTCGCTGCGTCCTGAAGCAGGCCTTAGTATCCTAGGCTGTTTCAGTCACAGTGAGTATGTTGGTACAGTTGTCGGCAGGAGAATGATAAGATGGCATCAGGGCACTAAAAAAAAAAAAAAAAAAAAAAAAGGCCTCTTCAAATAGCTTAATAAAAATGTCTGACAAATGCCTGCTGCCTTCTGATGGAGGCATAGGTTCTAGACTTGGATGGCCTGGGTCTGGTCCTCTCCTGCCACTTACTAGCCATCTGATCTTGGGAACTTGCTTAACTTCTCAGCTTTAGTTACCGCGGCTCTACAATGAGGAATTGCATAGTCTCTGCCTCATAGGTGTGTTGTCAGAATTAACTGGCAAAAAGACAGCAAAGCACTTGGAGCTGTGCCTCCTGTATAAGCACTCAATAAATGTCTGCGGTGTCATCATTCTTGTTCAGCTTGGGTTTATTAATACCTGCTCCTGGGCTGCAAGTTGAAAGACATTGTCCTCCAGGAATTGGGGTGTAATTAAATGGTAGTTGTTACAAAGGCCCCAATGGGTTCTGGCTGGGTGTGGCCTGGGGCCACAATAAGGAGATAAGGAGGCGGGTTGTGGTGGCCTCCCGTGGACTCCGGGCCAGGAAATGGCTCTGGACATTTCCACATTCCTCTCTGTTTTGTGTAATGAGTGGATTATACCTTCACAGAACATATCAGAATTGTTTTTTATTTTTACTTTAAATCTTGTGTTGGTTTCAGGTGTATAGCCTAGTGTTTTTTTGTCTGTTGGTTGGTTTATGACTTTTGTAGGACCCTCTCCTCTGCCTGCCCGTGTGCTGCACAGGCCCCTTTAAAGTCTGCTCGTCTTGGGGGACCCCCTCCCCCTTCCGCTGATGCCCTAAGGACCTTCAGCAGTCTCTACATTGTGGTTACAAACCTCTGGAAAGGTGGTCATAGTCCTACTCCAGGTAGCTCCTTCCTGAGGTGAATTTTTTTGCATGTATATTTAATGAGCTTTTTTAATTGCAAAGGTCACATGCTTATAATAGAACCTTTAAGGAAGATAGTCAAGAAAATAAGATGTACTTGTGATTCTACTATGTTGGATAACCATTAATACTTTTGCATGTGTCTTTATCTTTTTATGAATGTGTATAGATAATCTTTGCCAAAACAGGCAGGCTTACAGTCTATTTCCTGTTTGAAAGTCTGCTTTCCCTTTAACAGTCTATCCTGGTGTTTCCCATGTCAGTAGCTGTGTGCTTTATGGCATATTTACTGTGAAACTATATCCTGACTAGCGATGTGCACACCATATAGTCCTTGTCTACCACAGTTTGCTTCTTAAAATTTCTGTTATAGGCTTTTCTGGCATCTGGCTGCATTCTGCAGTCCAGATTTCTTTCCTACTACTTTTTTAACTGTTAGAAAAATTGTTAATGAGAAATACTTCAGTTGAAAGGGTATGAAATGATGAGATGATGAGCACCCATCTGTTCACTTTTTGGCAATATTTGGGGGAAATTGTCACTATATACTCATTGGTGTTGGTATAATTCTGACCACAGAGTCCACACGTTGGGGTGCCCCTGCCTCGTCCCTGGGTAATTCCCAAGAGCCCACGGGTCAGGATGGAATGCCTCGTCCCTGCGTGTGTAACTGCTCCTTTGAAATGACTGTGCTGACTGTGGGGAGCTGGAACCCCTGGCCAACCCTGACGCCTTTCCTCTTTCCTCCAGGGGGCAGTGCCCAAAGGAAACGCCACTAAAGAATTCATCGAGAGTTTACAACTGAAGCCCGGCCAGGTGGTGTACAAGTGTCCCAAGTGCTGCAGCATCAAGCCCGACCGAGCGCACCATTGCAGGTACGCGTGCCACACAGACACTCCCACGCTCACCCTGCTCCCACCCGGCCGGCAGCACCGGGACCGCTGGGCATCCCGCTCTGGGCGCCGAGTGACCTCACTAGAAGGGAAGGGGCAGGCCCTTGGCTCTGCCTTCGTTTCCGAATCTGTAAAATCCAGGAGGTTCCTGCTCTCCCCTCATAGCCTGCTGCATGGTGAGGGCGCCTGAGAAAGGCTGTAGAATGGCATTCTGTGCATGGCTAGTCCTTTACCCGTTTAAGAGGTGGGCCCTGCCGTTTACAGGGAAATGAAGGGTCGTCCTGCTGGAAAGCTTTTCTCTAAAACGAAGCTTCAAGAGGCCACGGCATCGTGGGAGTCAGCCCACAGCCACTGCCCTTCCTTCTGTGATGAGGTGGCCCTTTCAGATGTCTTTGACGGCATCCAGCTAAAAAGTGCCCTTGACCATGACAGGGGACATTGCTAAATTACAGCAATGCAGACACGGCGCCTGGTCCCTCTTTCAGGCTGGTGTGGTCGGGGAGAGGTTTCAGGAGTGAACCGGCTCCTGATGGCGGGAGGGCATCCTTTCCACTCGGGGGATGCGAGTGCCTGCGAGGGGGCGTTTCTGTGGGTCTCACTGCCCCCCTCTCGGGGGAGCGCAGCCTCCAGCGTTCCGGGTCCCGGGCAGCTGCTGAGCCCTGGCTGTGCCCCGGTGCCTCAGCCCAGTCCCCTGCCAGTCCCCTGCCTGCCGTCTCCGTGCTCGCTCTCAGAAATGACTCCCTGAGTGAGGTGAAGAGGTTTTCTCGTTCTTCCCTGAACCCGGCATCCTCCTGCCGCCGCCGCCTCCTCTCCCAGGACCGAGGGCGGTGTTCCTGAAAGCCAGAAAGCGGGCTGCGGGCTCCGGTGAACTGGGAGGGGGCCCGTGTGCCGCCTGCTCCTGACTCAGGAAACGCGGCCTAACAGCTGCTCCTTTGTGGCGGCCCACGCCGTCGGGACCACAGTTCTGAATAAGCAGATCCCGAGCACCCGGGTGGGTCGGGCCAGAGGCCTGCTGCCTCGTTAGCGAAGCTGGTGCTTGTGCCCAGCTGTTCGGTTCCTCTCCTCCCAGGAGGTCCCGTGGAATTGAAAACTCTGTTCTCTAGCGCTGTGGCCGCCACCGGTACGCCCTGAACTTGGGCCTGTAGGTGCTCCCTCCAGCCCATGCACACGGTGATGGTCTTCCCCGTGAGGAGAGGCAGCGCAACCCCAGGCTGCTTGTCCTGGTTGGAACCTGGAGGCAGGAGGGAATGCTGCGGAGGGCTGTCCATGGTGAAGGGGATGGCCCAGGAGTCCGCAAACTCGTTAGTCCACAGAGCCCAATATCACCAGCACAACGACAGACGTTTCTTTTGAGAGCCACATTTTTCAAACTTCAACTTCTTCTAATGCCACTTCTTCAAAATACACTCGCCCAGGGTGGGGTATTTTGTGGAAGAGTCACACTCAAGGGGCCAAAGAGCCACACGTGGCTCGCAAGCCACAGTTTGCCGACCACGGCTTTAGGTTCTTGGCCAGGGAGGTGGAGACTTCTGACCTTGGCAAAGCCTCTCCGCCTGCTGGCCCCCGATAGACACGCTGAGGCCGAGCCGGTCGTGGACTGCGTAGGGCGCCTGCCAGATCCCTGTTGTCTCCCCCGTGGTGTGTGCAGCTCTCGTGTCCTTCAAATGTTAGACCTGGTCTCAGCCCTGAGACGTGAGGGCAGGCTGCAGGCAGATTGGAGAAGCCAGGTTTCCTTGTCCAGAGCCCAGAGCGGGCCCGAGAGCACTGCTCTCCCCACCGCCTTACCCAGAGCTCCCTGAGCCGGACAGCGCGTGGAGGTGCCCTGTGCTTGTGCTTCTCATGGCAGCGAACGAGGGTGAACTCAAAGCACGCCCGACCCACTTGGTGCCTCTGGCCGTGTCCTTTCCTCTTTCCCGGGGCAGCCAGTCTGTGCCGAAGCTGCTTCCGGCCTCGCTCTTTCCCCGTCCACAGTCAGAGCCTTCACTCGGCCGGCCCTGCTCCCCGGGGCCTGGGCTGGGCTCTGGGCTGTGATGGTGGATTAGACATGGTCCTGACGCAGGGCCTCCCCAGGCTGGCAGGGGTCCACTGTGGTACCATCTGGTGAGTGCCACTGTGAGGAGACACGGCCCTCACAGACACGCTGTCTCCATGGTGGGCCAGCACCAGGGAGGGCAGGAGGCCTCGGCCAGCTCGGGGGCTGAGAGCCGAGGAAGCCCCGCAGAATGTGGGCAGTCACCACCGGGCCTCTGGGTTCCCTCACCCACCCACTCACGGACCCACCTCCAGGCCTTGCCCACGGGACTCTGTCCCCAGTCCAGACCCTTTCAGGCTGGGCATTTTGTGAGGTGTGGGGGGGTCAGCCTCTGCACAGTGCCTCTAGCCACCAGCCTAGAAGGACCCCCACCCCACCCCTGGCACACACATGCCACCACCGGCCCAGAGCCTGCTTCTGAACACCCTCCGTGAGCTCAGGGAGAGGTGCCATCTTGGCATTCCGTGTCCTTGCAAACAGCAAGCACAGACCCGCACTCGGGCCAGGTTGTACAGCTCTCGGGCGGACTCCCTGCTCCTGACGGGCGAGGAGCTTCCTAACGCGGCTGCCGGTGAGACGTGGGCCTGTGGCGCTGGCTGCCCGGGCACCGGCCTCTGCAGGGGCGGGAACAAAGCCGGTGCCCTCAGAGCTCGTGTCAGCTCTTGGGCAGCTTCCAGGGGCTGCCGGCCAGTGGTGCTTCTGTGCTGAACAAACACTGCTCAGAGCCCACTCAAACCCTCTCAGAGAGAAGTGCAACGGAACAGAAACTGCTCAGGAGCCTGGAGCTGGGGCGGGGGGGGGGGGCGGGGGGGCGGCACCCTCAGGAGTTTCTTCCCAGGCAGGGGGCTAAGAACCCCCAGAGCTGGCTGTCCCGGAGGACATACCAGAAATGGGCTCCAAGTGGTGGCTCTGAGGGGGAGGGGTGTGGGGCCTGATGGCTCTGAGGGGGAGGAGGGAGGCCTGGTGGCTCCGTGGGAGAGGGGTGTGGGGCCTGGTGGCTCCATGGGGGAGGGGTGTGGGGCCTGGTGGCTGTGGGGAAGGGGGAACCCTGGAGGCTCTGTGGGAGTGAGTATGGGCCTGGTGGCTCTGTGTGTGTGTGTGGGGGGGGGGGGACAACTGTGGCTGAGGCCAGGGTGCAGGGGCATCACTCCTCACTGTGTGAATCAATGTAGCCTTCTCTGAGCAGCACCCTGAAGCCAACCCTTCCTGCAGAGTCCACCCACCGCAGCCCACTGCACTGTAAGAGCCAGAGATAAAGTTATGGAAACTGGTGGGAAGAAAAGCTGGTGTGAGCTAAGGGACTTTCAAAAAAGGAATCGTATTATTTCTGAGGTTGTATTTGTAGTAATTCCAACTGTGTTTTCCAAAATATGTTCTCGTTGATTTTCTTTTTTTTAGAGAGAGGGATATGAGAGAGAACATCCTCTATCGGCTGCCTCCTGCATGGCCTCTACCAACCTGGGCGTGTGCCCTGACTAGGAATCGAACCAGTGACCTCTTGGTTCATGGATTGCTGCTCAAGCACTGAGCCCCTCTGACCGGGCCCGACTGTCTTAAACAAATAATACCCTGAGATAAATGTTAAGGAGCCTGTTTAACCTGTTAACCGAGCAGGACCTATAAATATGTCAAACATAAACAATATCAGGAATGGGTAGGACATATGAATACGTCCTTGAAATATATGTTGCGCCCTGAGAGGGACGGTATATACAAGGAAAAACCATAACATAATCTTTATAATTGTTTGTAAAATTTATAATTTTTTAATTTGATGTTTCCATTTTTTTGTTGGTATTCTTTTCTATTTGTTTGTAATTTTGTATTTCCCTTCGTGCTTTATATATAAATAAATGAAAAAATATATATTTCATTTATTTTCATTAAGTATAAATAAATAAAAATAATATGAAATTACGTCCTCCAGGCGTGACGTACTGACACGTCCTAGTGAAAGAGTGCGCGCCCGTTACAGGTTGCGTCATTAAAAAGGGAACTCCCCGGTTAACAGGTTAAAAGGAACAATCTTAATGAACCCATCTGTTGTCAAGTGGGTCTTTCTAGACTTTGGCAAGTACTTGCTTTCAAGCCCCCTTTAGCCTTGTTCTCTCGTTTCCTGATATTACTTTGTATTGTCCAAAGGTTCAGGAGGGCGTTTGCTGTCAAATAAGCTTGTAACCTTCCAAAAGTGATCCCAATAACAAGTTAGCAATTTGAAAATTTATTAGATCATCCAATCAACACTTGAGCTTACATGGTGACTTTTGTGCTTTTCTGGCGAAGTGGGTGTTATCTGGGGCCGGAAGGTTCTTGGAGGGGAGGGGGGCTTCCTGTGCCCTGAGAGGTTCTGCACTTGACCCAGCTCTGAACTCTTCCAGCTTTCCCTCCCGCAGCCAGCCCTCCCGGGAGCTCCACCCCACCCTCTGGATTCTGGGGGATTGGGAGCCCTGTTTTCTTTCTATCTTTCTCTCTCTCTTTTTTAAAAAAATATATCTTATTGATTTTTTACAGAGAGGAAGGGAGAGAGATAGAGAGTTAGAAACATTGATGAGAGAGAAACATCGGTCAGCTGCCTCCTGCACACCCTCCACTGGGGATGTGCCCGCAACCAAGGCACATACCCTTGACCCAGGTCGAACCCGGGATCCTTGAGTCCACAGGCCGACGCTCTATCCGCTGAGCCAAACTGGTTTAGGCAGGATTGGAAGCCCTGTTTTCTGTATCCCATCTCCTCAAGCTTTTGAAACTGCTGCTTCATTTGTCCTCTCAATGTGGCGTCGAGAGCAGCCACGCCACGTCAGTTCCACCCGCTGTATGTCCAGCCAGAGGCCGCGGTGGGTGACTAGGCCCGCAGCCCCTGCAGCCACGCCCGGCAGGAGGCAGGCCCCCTAACGCTCCGCCTGTGGCTGTTTCAGTGTGTGTAAGCGGTGCATTCGGAAGATGGACCACCACTGTCCCTGGGTCAATAACTGTGTGGGCGAGAACAACCAGAAGTACTTCGTCCTGTTTACAGTAAGTCCCTTTCCGACTCTGCCCCACCCTCCCGAGCACTTCCTTCCCCAAGCTCCCGGCCTCCGCTGCCAGCAAGGGCTACTGCTCCTGAGCACTCGCTCGGGCTCCTACAAAACGGACTCAAGCTGATTAGCTATAAGCGAGGGCCAGCGCCCAGTCTGAGTAGCCGGAGGAGCCGTTTTGGTGGTGCCTGCAGGTAGGCGGGTGTGTTTAGTGAGGGCTGAAGGCCATCGGCAGTCCGCACCCTCACTGCTCAGTGAGGAGAGTGACCCGAGGAGCCCCGCCCATCCGGAGCCCAGGTCACTGTGCCCGGTGATGGCACAGTTCTCGTCCCCACTCTCAGACCCGGGGCCGGGGGTGGGGGCGGTGGGGGGCGGCCAGGTGCCTCTGGCCCTGCTCCTGGTCCTCCCTCACGCTGAGTGCTCCTGAGTGCGGGTTCACACGGTGACGCCTGTCCCGCTTTCTCTGCAGATGTACATAGCCCTCATCTCCCTGCACGCCCTCATCATGGTGGGGTTCCACTTCCTCCACTGCTTCGAAGAAGACTGGACAAGTGAGTGTGGTCAGGGCTCTCCTCCGGGGCGGGGCACGAGCAGGCGGGCTCTTTACCCCAGCGTGGCGCAGGGGCCACCCTCACCACGTTAGATCTCTCGCAAGCTCACGGACTGACCAGGGAAGGAAGAGCAGAGGCCCGAATCTTTCAGCAGAAAGCGCAGCCCCCAAAAGTCAGTTCCTCAGGTAAAGTGGAGAGCCGGGCACACCGCCCCCGCCCGCCCCGGCGTGCCCGGGGAGAGCAGGCCAGGCAGGAGGCCGGCCGGGATGGGTTTGCGTGCCCTTAGCCAAGACCCTGCATTCAAAGGTCACCCACTCCCCGTCTGGCAGGAACTCGCTCTTAACACCCCGCCTGGGATGTGGAGATGTTTTGTGGGTTTTTTTTTTTTTTTTTTTTTTTTTTTTTTGTGGTTGCTTTTTAACTGTTTGATCAGCAATTTGCATTAAGATTGTAGACAAATTCTTGCCGCTCTAGAAGTATTCCGTTTAAATGTAAATGTCCACGAAGGAACGCCAACCAGAAAAGTATACAAAATTATGAGGGAAAATATAGGTGCTGAAACAATAAATGAAATGTAAAAGGAGAATAAAAATAAGGAAAAGTGATTAGATGCTAACGGATTTAAAAGGCCGCCTGCTGAGCTGGAACTTTCACACACACACCCTGTGAGACAAACGCCTTGAGCAGAAACATTGTGTTTCTCCTGTTTTCCCCTAATGGGCCCCTTTTTTCATTTCACCGCCGTTTAGAAGTTTTGGTCTTTCTGCACATGCTGACTTCTTGGGCATTTTCTTGCTGTTATTGTTTCTCAGGACTCTGAGGCTGCCCAGCCAGTGTGGCTCAATGGTCCCGGCGTGGCTCAGCAGGTCACAGTTCAATTCCCGTCAGGGCACATGCCCGGGTTGTGGGCTCGATCCCCAGCAGGGGGCGTGCAGGAGGCAGCCGATTGACATTTCTCTGTCATCCATGTTTCTGTCTAACCCTCTCCCTTCCTCTATTTCTAAAATCAATAAAAACATATTTTTAAAAAATAAAAGAACTCATGAGGCTATGAAAAGGACAGTATCCGTAGCTCCAACCAGATGCTAAGAGGCTTCCCCTGTGTCGCAGTTTTCCCCCTCCCCCTCTGCTCTCCCTGGCCTTGCCCAGCTTCTGGCTGGACCTCACCAATTTGCATTAAGATTGTAGACAAATTATTGCTGCTTTAGAAGTATTCCATTTAAATGTAAATGCCAACAGGGGAAGAGCACCCTGTGAACTGCCCTCACAGCACCGCAGACGGCTCACACATTCACTGCTCACAGCTCTGGCACTGGGAAGTCCAGGGCGAGGTGCCCACCAGTTGGGCTCCTGAGGCAGGGACTCCTGATTCGCAGGTGGCCACCTCTGCCTGCGTCCTCACAGGGCAGGGAGGGAACAGCAAGCGCCCTGGTGTCTCTTCTGAACGAGCACTAACCCCATCACGACCTCATCTGAGGCCCGTCTCTGAGCCCACTACACTGGGGGCTGGGGCTCAACACAGGAATTGAGGGGGCACAGTTCTGTCCATAGCACCCCGTCTCCCTGCTTTCCTGACTAGGGAAGTTCTAGCACAGCCAGACAGGAGATCAGTGAGTAGGGGGGTGAAGGGGGGGGGCACGAGAGCGGGTTTCTGCAGGTCATGGTCCTGCACAGCAGGGGCTACTAGCAGGTTCCTTGGACATTTTTTTTTTTTTTAAATATATTTTATTGATTTTGTACAGAGAGGAAGGGAAAGAGATAGATAGTTAGAAACATCGATGAGAGAGAGTCATCGATCAGCTGCCTCTTGCACACCCCCTTCTGGGGATATGCTCGCAACCAAGGTACATACCCTTGACCGGAATCGAACCCAGGACCTTTCAGTCCCCAAGCCGACGCTCTATCCACTGAGCCACACCGGTTTCGGCCTCCTCGGTGGACATTCTAAAAGGACTGCATTCAGCTAGGCCCCGGGTCCAGGTCACCTCTAGGTGAGGTCTGACAAGGACATGTTATCATCACAGACCCCATCCGGTTGTCAGGCTAACAGACCTGGGCAGTAATGAGAGTCACCGTCAGTGAGGCCGAATCTGTCTTCAGACGGGCCGTTTCCTTAACGCCCCTGGGAGCCAGGCAGCCTGCAGGGTGCTCTGAGCCGGGCCTGCAGGGCAGAGCTGCTCGGCGCGTGCAGAGCAAGAGCAGAGGCTGGGAGCCGAGCGCTGAGCTCAGGGCGGAGCGGCTTAGCCAGGCCTGGTGGAGCGGTGGCCTGCCGGCGGAAGCGGCAGTGAGCGAGGGCGGCGTGTGTGAGGGAGGCCCCGGCGGGGCCCAGCCAGTCAAGGAGGGCTCCCATGGGGAGTGTAGGTGCAACCAGGAGGGGTGGGGGCTCACTGAGGCCTGGAGGCCAGACACCGGGGCCTTAGGCAGAGGGGGCCTGGGGCCGGGGCGGCGGGCCTCGGGCCGGAGCCCTGAGCCTGTGCTCCTTCTCCGCAGAGTGCAGCTACTTCTCGCCGCCCACCACGGTGATCCTCCTCATCCTGCTGTGCTTCGAGGGGCTGCTCTTCCTCATTTTCACGTCGGTGATGTTCGGAACCCAGGTGCACTCCATCTGCACGGACGAGACGGTGAGCAGGAGGGCGGCCTGCACAGGCCCCGGGTGCGGGCACACCCCCCATTTGCAGGGACACTGATCTCCACGCACACGGGCGTCCTCCCCTTTGGGGGCTGGCATGCCGTCGCACCAGCAATGGGCCCAGCAGCCTTGGTGAGAGGCCCCCTAGGTCACAGGCCCTTCCATGCTCCCGTGAGGGTTCTGTCTGCGCGCCGCTCTGCTGGGCACTGGGACACCTCCCCCTGGGGCCACTTCACACCCTGTGCCCCTGAGCCTGTGCGGGTGGAGGACAGTGCTGGGCCCCAGGTGGCCCAGGCACAGCTACTCCCAGAGAAGGTGACTTCATGTCTGGTCCTGAGGACAGAGCAGGAGACAGCCCTGCCTTGAGCCCAGATCAATGGCAGCCCATTCTCGCCGGGCCCCGGTCACCTCTGCCGGGCCTGCTCTGCTCCTCGTCCGCTGCTTCTCCCTGGTCCTGCCTTCCCCGACTCGCAGCTCCACCTCTGGGAGCCTCGAAGCTGCTGGGCCCGAGCCCACTCCCCTGGTGCCACCTCCTCCCAACCGCCCTAAGGTGTCCAAAAGCCTCAAGGTGCTAACCCGTGGCTATGGTGGGGGCATCGCTTTCCTTTCTGGGTTTGGGGCCTCGCGTAAGGGGCCCAGGAGAGAGCGGTGGAATCCTGAGGTCGAGAGTCCATCCTGGCTTCCCAGGGTCCCCTCGGGGGGCAGCTCTCAGCAGCGTCCGGGGCCCCTGGGGGACTGCAGGCCTGGCAGGCACCTGGGAGGGAGGCTCACGTGAGGGGAGTGCCTGCCTCCGCTGCCGGGCCCTCCCGTGGGCAGGGAAGGTCAGTGCAGGGAAGAGCTCACTGCCCGGCTGCCCAGGCACCACCGTTGGCACCTGTGGGAGTCCCCACGGTGCAGAAGGTGGGGGGCTCAGCAACTTCTTCTTTTATAAGAAATAACATCATTGCAAAGGAGTTTCTATAAAAATAGTAGCCAGTGGTGGATCCAGCTAGGAACCAAGGCAGGAAACATGACCAGCTTCTCTATGGAAGGCCTGCAGGACCCGGGGGGATCCAGCCCCGCCTCCTGCCCGATGTTGGGGTGCAGCCAGGCCACACAGGCCGTAACTTGGGGGAGCCCGAGGAGAGCTGTCAGGGCCCTGGCCCATCTTCCCTTCAAGGAGTCATGTAGGAAAGGAAGGCAGGCCCCACAGCTCATGGGAAATGGGCCTTCCCCTCCCCATACCCTCTCCGGCCTGCATGGGGTGCTCCTTCAGGCACACCTCTGCTCCACCCTCACCAGAGACCAGGCACAAGCCCCAGCCCCCCTCACTGACCAGCTCTATCCGTTTGAGGGGGGACCAGCTTTCTCCGCAGCCCCCATTTTCCTCTGAGACGGGAGCGCAGGCTCTGACAGCTGCTGAATGGGTCACACGTCCCCCCACAGGAGCCTGGGAAGGCCTTCGCCGTGACTGAGGCTGACTGGTCTGTCCGTGTGGCCCTGACCTGTACTAACCTCTCCTTCCTCCTCTGGTGACTTCTCCGACCCCTCTGTCCCTCCTCCCCACCTTCTAGCTGTGCTCCCGACCTCCCCGCGGATCTGACCCTCCAGAGCCGCCCTTCGACTCATCTCCTTTTTCTTTCTTTTTTTGGCTACAAAGTGGTTGTGTAACGCAGGCTTCCTGTGAACCAGTCCCAGCTGAGCAGTCACCTTGGCCGTCAGATCGCCAGCCCTGAGGCTCCTGTACCCAAGCCTGCCGGCCCTGGCCCGTCCGCCCTGGGCCCTGGCACGCTCGTCCCCAAGAAAGTCTGGGGTGTTTTTACACTTTGTGAGAGAGAAAGGGAAGGCAGGTGTGTTGTGTAGTTGCTCCGTGGCTTTATGAAGGAGACCTTTACTCCGCTCACTCAGGCTAATGGATGTCCCTCCCCCGAACCCACAGCGATAAGCGTATGACTGAAGTGTGGTTGTTCTTGTTTTCAGGGAATAGAGCAATTGAAAAAGGAAGAGAGAAGATGGGCTAAAAAAACAAAATGGATGAACCTGAAAGCCGTTTTTGGCCACCCCTTCTCTCTAGGCTGGGCCAGCCCCTTTGCCACGCCAGACCAAGGGAAGGCAGACCCGTCCCAGTACGTGGTCTGAAGGACCCCTGGCAGCATTGCCACCCAGACACACACATCCCAGCACCGCGGCCCGTGCTCACGAACATTCAAACGAGAAAGCAAAACAACTACTCCAAAACTTTTTTATGACTCAAGTAAAATGGCTGAGCATTGCAGAGAAACAATGTCCCCACGTTTTATTTTTAAAAGATCATCCTTTCTATTTTTTGGCAACCGAAGCTGCTCTTTTCTCCTTTCCCAAACGGCCTCTCTGGCCTCTGGTTTCCTCTCTGCTCTCTGTCTGGCATGACTAACGTGGACGGTGCTGTCTCGGGGCCGTGCCCCCTCCCACTAACGGACGTGACACTGGTGCGTGGAAGGTGCGTGGAAGGACCGTCCCGACGCCTGGCTGGGGAGGCGGGGCCCCAGGCAACTGAAACGCTCAGAAGATGGATCTCCCCGGTGGCCCAGAGGGGCAGGATCAGGGCTGGAGCCCCAAGAAGGGCCCTGGCACCGCAGCCTCATCCCCCAGTGGACTCGGTTTGCCTCCCAACCCACAAAAATCAGTTGCCCGATTTGTGTTTGATGGACTCGGGGTGTGGAACGATGGGGGCGGGGCGGGGACCCACGGGGTCTTACATGTATTCTCAATCACCAATTCTGATTATGTGAAGAGTGTGAAGGAAAGCGGTCTTTCCAGTTCAAAATGCCTTACACAATCAAAGGGAAAATGTGACCGTTCCGAGCGAGCTCCATGTTCCCGTTAGTCAGCTCACACACACACACCCCCCCCCCCCCCCGAACGAGGCAGCTGCAGCCCTGCCGTCAACCCTTTGTTCCTCGTGTTGTAAGTCGCCAAAGGGGTTTACTTCCTGGTGTTTAGGCCCTTCTATGTGCGCGGACCCACCTCCGGTCTGCATTCTAACCCGGGAGACTCCCGCCCCGGCCTGGGGCTAAGCGTGATGCCAGGGGAGCGTCCCGGGCCTGACTTCGGGGCTGGCCAGGTGCCGGCGGGCAGCCTGCCCGGGAGCCCCCGGTCCCGTCTGCGAGAGAACGGCCTGGTGAGGAGACCGCGCCGGCCAGCCGGACACTCGCAGGAATCGAATACTGATCGTCCGGATCCTGCCACGTGGATTTGTTTTTTAAGCAGTTGCCACAAGCCTCCTTTTTAGCTCTTGCTTGGGGTCGGGGAGGGGGTGAGGGTTATTGAGTCTGGCCGTGGGGAGCAGACTGGACCTGGCCAGGCGGTTTCTCAGAGAAGGGGAACAAGCCTCTTTCAGTCCTGTCAGTGCTTCCACCTGGAAACCAAATGCAATAAACGTTTTCCAAAACCTGTTGTGGTTGATTTGAGCTCTGCTCTCGCCCAGTCACCGCGGCCAGCGCCGGTGACTGGTCCGGCTGGTCGGGGTTTGTTTTCATTGCTTCTGAGGACATTATTTATGCCCCTTCTTGGATGAGGCCTTGCATGTTTTTAAGGGCACTAGGACCCCTGTGAGCAAGCTTGTTCTCAGCCTCTCTGGCTTTCCGCAGCCAAAGCCGGTGCCCTTTGGCGCTCAGTGGCAATGGAAAAGGTCAGATGCACTGACTGCTTCTAGGGGGAAACCCCGACCTTGCCCACCCCCCAAAAGCCAGAGGGAATCGCTGACAACGTCCACACACAGTGCTGGTGTGTGCTCTCAGGACTCCGTCATCCTTTCAATGCTTAACCGAAGTCTGCGCCCCTAAGCCGGCGAGCCGGGGCTGGCCGCTGTGCTGCCGGAGCGGCAGTCACGGCTGAGGGCCGTGTTAGATCTAGTTTGTAGCCCTGTCCCCACACTGAGGCGGGAAGCAGCGTGGGCGTTAAGTGGCCCAGCTTTCGGCTTCGGCACAGGAGTTGGGACAGCCCTGAAGGGCGCACATAGGAAATGGGCCGCTTGCAGCCCCAGTCTTTCCAAACGGCCTCCGGAGGAGTGAGTGAAAAGAAAGAGGAAGACGATGTGGAGAGTTGTTAGGTGACTCCGTGCATAGCAAACAGACCCAATGCAAACAGACTGAATGCAAACCTGCAGATTTGCATGGTGTCTCGTGCACGTGCCAATTCTGTCAGTCATAAGCATTGCATCTCCGTCGCACTTTCTTAGAAGAACCCGGAATGAGACACCTTGTTACCAGCCTTTGCTCGTTCAGGCGAGGCTGCTTAGAAAGTTAAGGTCACCTTCCTGCTGCAGAATCTCCCAGATGAGGCCCATTGAGAAACATTTGTGGGCATCACAAACCCCAGGCCGTGGGGAGGGGAGAGCCCTGGTTGGGCAAATGGGTTTCAATGCGTCAGCCTAAAGAGGAGCCAGCCAGTAAAGGGGTGAAAGGGCCTTTAAATGCCAAAGAAATGCGGCGAGGCTTTGCTAGGATTCCTCCCGAGTCTCCTGGTGAGGCACCCAGGCAGCACCACCCACACCTGTTCTCAGACCCCACTCTGGGCCTCGCAATCGCATTTCAACAGCCCCATGGCGATTCTGCCACACTCGGGTCTGAGAACCCACCGGGGGTTCCCGGTCTCTGCAGGTGGCTGATGCGCTGGGGCCTGATCCGGAGGCGCCCCCCTCAGCCTGCGGCCTCCCCGCAAATGGATGCTGAGGGACAGACAGTGTGAGTGTTGGAAGGCAGTCACGTAATCAGTGTGGCCCGAAGTTGCAAACCACACTGAGCCCAAGGTCCTTGGGGTGGAGAACCATCTAGAAGAGCGAGGGGAAAGAATGGAGCCAGGCTTCGCCAAGTCGGAGTGGTGGCTGCAAGCCTGGTCAGGCTCAGGTGCTGGTCTCTGGTCTCTTCCCGGGACCTCACACCCTCGGGCTCTTTTCTCGTATCTGAAATACATGTCTGAGCTGAGCATCACCTCGGGGAAGGCATTCAGTGAAAGACAAGCTCCTGGCCAGCCTGCTCTCCAGAGTAAGGCTTCGTTTCCCCACCTTCTGCCGCAGGAAGGCCATGATCGGCCGTGTGGCTCCCAGGCAAAGCAGAGTGGCCCCAGGTGCCGCCTCGCCTGCGGACGGATGCAGGGAGTTATGCAAAGCTTTGCAGAGGAGAGCTCGCAGAGACTGGCCTGCAGGTGCTCTGGCTGGACAGAGGGAGCCTGCACCCTGCATCGGGGCCGGGGGTCTGGGGAGGTCTCGGGACCCTGGCTCCGGCTGCATCAAGCCCCTGCTCCCGTACATCCTGTGGGACCTTGTGCAGTGACCTACGTCCGCCTCACTTTTCTATAAAATCAGGAGGATGCTCCTAATCTCAGGGCTGATGTGAGGACTGGATGAGGTTAAGGAATGTGAGTGTTAGCGCCGTGCCTGACGCATCGTTGGCCCGAGTAAAGGTCAAGGGTTAGAGCTGCGCCTTTTGAACCAGGTCACAGCTCTTCATCCGTGAGTCTATCGTTTTGCAACAGCATTTTTGTAAAGAAATTTTTTTAAAATGCATTGCTCATTACAAGTATTGCTCTGTGAAACGGGATGTTTGCTGGGTTACAACAGACAAGTATTTCCTGCATGAAAGCCCCGGGGAAGGGAGTCCCCTGGCCTCCGAGAGGCACGTGTGCGGCTGTGGCGGCTGACTTCCTACACCTGGTGGCGTGGAGCAGAGGACGTGCCGCTCCCCACGAGTCACAGCTGAGTCCTAGAGCGTGTGCTGGTGGGGGCTTCCTTGGAGCCTTGGTCCCGGGTTCACTGTGGGGGCCTGAGGGGTCTGGCTGCTCCCTCTGCAGGCCTGCAGCTGCGGAACGGTGCCTTCAGGACCCTCTAAACCACACAAACTCCCAGTGGAGCCCTTCCAGGAGGAAGGAGCCCAGAGGCTCACCCGAACCTGGAGGTCCAGGCCCTCCGGCCTTTTCGGCATCGACTTGGAATTTCTCTCCAGACTCGGCAGGAGTGGCACGCTCCTTGCAGGCTTGTCGCTTAACTGAGGCGCTTCACCTGGCGGGTCTGTCGGGAATATTCTCCAGGCTCGCAGAATGGAAGCCAGTTGCCTGGGGGCTTGTGCTTCGTGCCCTCCCGGCTTTTCTCTGCCTGAGATCAGCACCGGCAGAGCGAGTGTTTGCAGGAGGATGAAACCCACTTGGGCAGAGAAGGAAGACTCCGGTCCTGGTGGGAGACCCGCAGACGAGCTTTGGCCTCGCTCGTGGCCTCTTGGCCTGTTTGCCCACCCGCCAGGTGCAGTACGGAGCCCGCCTCCTCGCTGGGAGGAAATGGGCGCTGGGTGAGCCCAGCCAGCCAGTCATTTCCTGGCGGCCCCTCTGCAGCCTGGTCAGCCACGTGCTGACATCCCAGCGCCTTGCAGCCGTGGTTTAAGCACCTTAACCTCACCCAGGAAAGGAGTGCAGGTCCCCGAAGCAGGTCACCACAGGTGGCCACTGCCGGGGCTGCTGAGCAGGGAGGACTGGCCCGGGGCAGGGGGAGGGTAGCCAGTCCACGGGCTGCGTGGCATCCTATGCTCCTGTCCCACGTGAAGACCTTGAGACTCAGTAAGGTCCATTTTGTGAAACAGCTGATTTTGTTCTGGTTAAAGGAGTAACTATACCTGTGCATTGGTGGAAACCAGGAGTGTGGGAAGCCCCCAGAAATAAATACATCTGAATAAAGTTGTCTAAGCGCCCCCAAGGGAAACTCAGGCTCCGTGGCCGTGTCCTGTGCCCTCTGCTTTCTTCCCCGGTCACCAGGGCACAGGCCCTCCCAGTGCCCCGTGAACACGCGTGGCGAGCCGGCACGGCCATGGCATTCTCAGCCCCAGGGCGCCTTATGTGCCACGCCCGCTCAGCCAGGGTCAGTGACCCTGAGAGGGGGCGGTGAAGGACGGAGAAAAGACAGATGAGCATGAAAGCTGGGTCTCGGTGGGACCCTCTCCTCTCTGATGGAGAGCCTCTGTGATGGAGCTAGCGTCCGCCACGGACTACAAGCCGTATCTTCATTTTATAGCCAATGCCATAGGCAGTGTTTCCCAAAGTGTGGTCCGCGTACCCCCAGGGGTACGGGAAGAGTTTGGTGGGGGTACGCGTTGCACCGAAGTTTGGTGGAGATA